TCAGAAATATTCCAGTTATATGGTAGCGGTCTGTAAATAATTGAGTCTGGGCCAGACACTCAAGTGATCAACAGCATGAGCATCGATCTAGGCAACTGTTATACGATGACATGTGTCAACCAAGTCAGCGAACCTGACCACCCGATCCCGTAAGTCGCCTCTTACGACAAGCATGTGATCAATATTCTAACCCGGATCATTACGGGTGGCGTGAGTGAGTGATTAAGTGGGTGTTTGAGTGAGTGGGTGGGAGAGTGAGGGAGTGAGTGGGAAAGGAAGAGTGTGATTGGTCACTTGTGTTGGTGAGTGAGTGTCTTTGAGAGAGTGGTTGAGTGAACGAGTGATACACCATAGATCATGGAATCTTGGTATTGTCGGTACTTCTCTATTGTGTTTACAAAGTAGTTGGAAACAGGCCCATGGCCACAGTAAAGGGATTCACATCATGAAGCCACAAATTTGAAAGATCATTTTCCCGCGAGAGAAATTGGTCTCTCTCATAAATTGTAACTATGTAATGAGGAAGACAAATTGCTTGTTTTTAAATTTGGTGCAATGACCTTTTCTGTTTGTAAATAATAACGTAATGAATAGTATGCATTTAAGGAAACTCATTTAAACTTTGTACTTAAAATATGTATGTGTGCAGACTTGGTTTCGTCGCTCTATGCCGAGGTGACGTTATATCTTAACTCATTCACTCAGCATCTCACTCAATGACTTGGTCGGCACATATTACAGTATACTAATTGCGTAGATCAATACTGATGCTGTTGATCACTGGATTGTATAGTCCAGACTCGATTAGTTACAGACCGCCGCCCTGGGGGTGAAATATTGTTGAGTGCGGCGTTAAACAACCAACCAACCAACCAAACAACCAACCAACCAACCATTGACAAACAAACAAAAACAAGGCTACATAAAAAAAAATTTTACTTTTCATTTCTAAACACACTTGCCTTGCCAAAAATATATAAGTAAACGAAGCTTCATATTCCCGGTAAGACGAGGAGTGGGCTTGGTGATGGAGGTCAAAGTAAGTGTTACACAGCATTAAACCATATATAATGTGACACACCCTTTTAAATATCCTTAAACATTGACTATACAAAATCACGTGGTTGGAGCTGTTACGTTGAATAACATGTGGGATCATTTACCAGATTTCCATAACCAGATAGACATTAATTAAGATGTCTACTGATTAAGCGGCATGTCCATCGTATACTATTTAACGAAATATTTCTGTCGTAAGGCAGACTAAAACCACAATGATATTGAGAAGAGTCCCCCAGATAAATTACCCCCATGATGTAAAGCCCTGTCGTGATGGCTTCCACTTGCTAATCCCAAACACGAGGCCACCTTATACATCAAACTTCAGTTCTCAAAACCACCCTCCCACCTCTACACCTCGTCCCTGCGCCCACCCGAAATGTCGTCGACAATGTCGTTGCCACTCAACCATGTCGTACCTGACGACACATGATTAATTTTTCCTGTTGGGAACAGCAATATTTGTCTAACAGTTTTAGACAAAGGATGTTTCTCTACACAGGTGAGGAATCCCACCTACATCAAAGGCTACGACGAAGAGGAAACACTGTGGTTGTGTCCGGCGCACCTGTCATCTACCTGATTGAGTGAGATAAGTGACGTTGTTGTGTTCAGATTCCTGCGTACGCTGAGGATATAGAAATGTTTTCCTGTCAGCTGTCAGCACTGAACTGTCTCGTCCAGGTAGGGGTATTTACAGAGCTTCGTCGAATACCTGAAATATTGCTGAGTGTGGTTCGAACATTAAAGAGACAAGGAAATTAAGAAAACAAGCACTACAAGCTACGTACAACATATACTGGGTAACATGATATTGTTTTTCCTGACATTGCGAATTTCCGTATGTCTGTATTCCATGTGTTCATGATTTAAAGACAAAACCCCAAATTACTCATTATCTGTATTGCACTATACGCACACACGTGCGTACACTTGGATGCGCACACACACTTGCACACAGATACCATCATAAACATACGTACACATGTGCACACATATGCAGTCATAGACCCATACACGTGCACACGGATACGACCATAGACACACGAGCGCACACACGCGTACACACAGATAAGATCATTGACACACGAACGCACACACACGTGTACACACATACGATCGTATACTAGTATACACGAACGTACACACACGTGCACACAGATACGATCATAGATACACGAACGCACACTCACGTGCACACATACGCACACACAGATACGATCATACACATCCACACCGTCATCCTCACGGTAAGCAACTGCTAACAGATATTCAAAATGTATTTTGTCTAATATATAGTATCCCAACTGCACGTGCATCATGGCCCGGCCGTTGATTCATATAATCTTTGTATTAGCTGAGAGCCTGACTGGTGTGTGTGTGTGTGTGCATACTACTGAGGAAAGGGAGGTGCACATTTCATTTTCACCCTAGTGCGCACCCCTGCCCCCCTCTTCTGGATCCGCCGCGCTGACTGATGCATGTTATCGTATCCAAGCTGCGTCTATGCTTATGACGCAGATCACTGGATTGTCTGGCCCCGACTCGAAGATTTAACGACATACGTCATAATGCTGGAATACTGCTGATTGTGGAGTTCAACAACAAGCAAGCAAGACAATCTGCCGTGGTCCTATCCAAAGTTTCTAGCTTGATAGTTTTCGCTTTAGTAGCAATAAATAGTAAGTTGTTAGACAAACGTCATTGACCCGTATACGATTCCCAACACATGTGTATCCCTTGTGTGTTTATCAATTTTCCTGGTCATCGGTTTCAGTCTATGGAACACAGCAGCCAATAGAGGAATCACCTCCGTCACGTTACTTGTAAAGCGTGGCATGGAGAAACGCGCAGGTGTGAAGCCCTGCTTGGCAGCCAGATAAAATAGTCCTGGAAGAGTTATTCCCCTTTAAATAGGAGACAACTGCTCGAAGCTGTCGTAAAATCCCACGTGTCTGCTCGCACTCTGAGAGAGAGTCTTTATGCGATGGTGTAAAATACTTTGAATTGGTGGTTGGTTGGTTGGCTGTTTTACGCAGCAAAATTCTTGCTCTATGACGGCGGTCTGTAAATGTTCGAGTCTGGACCAGCCAACCCAGTGATCAACAGTATGAGCATCGATCCATACTGGATACGATAACAAGTGGCAACCAAGTCAGCCAGCTTGACCACCCGATCCCGTGAGTTGCCTTTTGCGACCAGAATTGGTTGCTGAAGACCAATTCTAACCCGGATCTTCAGAGGTCTGAAATGGTCTGAACAGCGGTCACAGCAGTCTTGAACCAGTGCCGGATATGAACCACCCGTATCCATCTGTTCTGTCTTGGCGTTGTGACGCGTGGACGTCCTGCACGTAGGCGATCGGCAACTCCATAATTGCTCCGATAACGTCTCGACAGTGCTGAAATATTTTCCGTGGCAAAGGACATGCGCAGCCACCTGACACTGAGACAGTCCCTACGAAATATCCCAATAGTGTCATGACGGAGTTCATTGGTTGCTTTAACAATCATACGTAAAACAATATCAAGCTTCCCAAATCGACAACAGTGTTTGACATTCATGCGCTCCACGCAGTTTATCAAGATGCACATGCCCTACCGAGGCCAAAAACCAATGATGCCACGAAACGTCGCACATGCATGTGTGTTCAATTCACTGCTAACTGTGTTAGTGTACACACACATACATACACACAAACACACGTATATACATACACACATACATACACAATTATATTTTGATTTTTCGTGTTAGTTTTTAGGCCGGTAGAAAAGCGTAAAAAAGTGTGAAAGAAATTGATCCTATACCCTTATGTTGTGGCCTGGTGAATGAGCATTGCCGAAACGAAATTATGCATACATCCAGCATTTAACTAACGTGGTAAATTATGATTTTTTAAGACCGATTTGTTGTTACAAACATTTCTATTTGTGTGTATTTTATAGGGGCCTGTGCCAGCTGGCGAGGTTTGACAAACTGTCGACGAGAAACAGTGGTGGCCTCTATTGTCCTGAGTATCCTGGAGAGGGACTATGGAACTCCAGGATCTGGTGGTGATAATTTCTATTTTGGTGAAGGTGTAGGTGGTGATGTAGGAACTGTGGTGATGTAGGGACTGGGTGGTGTAGGAGGTTTGGGTGTAGGAGGTGGTGTAGGTGGTGGTGGTGGTGTACGAGGTGGTGTAGGTGTTGGTGTAGGAGGTGTATGGAGGTGGTAACATCTATGTAGGTGGTGGTGTTTTAGGTGGTGCTGTAGGTGTGAGGGTGGTGATGTGGGTGGTGGTGGCCATAGGTGGTGGTGTGGTGGGTGGTGTCGGGGTAGATGGGTGGTGGTGGTGTGGGTGGTGGTGAAATCACGGGAAGGTGGTGGTGTAGGTGGTGGTGTGGGTGGTGGTGTAGGTGGTGGTGTAGGTGGTGAGGTGGTGGTGGTGGTGGTGGTGGTGTAGGTGGTGGTGTGGGGTGGTGGTGGTGGTGGTGGTGTAGGTGGTGGTGTAGGTGGTGGTGGTGGTGGTGGTGGTGTAGGTGGTGGTGTGGTGGTAGGTGGTGGTGGTGGTGGTGGTGGTGTAGGTGGTGGTGGTAGTGGTGGTGGTGTAGGTGGTGGTGGTGAGGTGGTGTAGGTGGTGGTGGTGGTGGTGGTGGTGTAGGTGGTGGGTGGTGGTGTAGGTGGTGGTGGTGTGGGGTGGTGTGGGTAGGTGGTGGTGTAGGTGGTGGTGTAGGTGGTGGTGTAGGTGGTGGTGTAGGTGGTGGTGTGGTGTAGGTGGTGGTGGAGGTGGTGGTGTAGGTGGTGGTGTAGGTGGTGGTGTAGGTGGTGGTGTAGGTGGTGGTGTAGGTGGTGGTGTGGTGAGGTGGTGTAGGTGTGAGGTGGTGGTGTAGGTGGTGGTGTGTAGGTGGTGGTGTAGGTGGTGGTGTAGGTGGTGGTGTAGGTGGTGGTGTAGGTGGTGGTGTAGGTGGTGGTGTAGGAGGTGGTGTAGGTGGTGGTGTAGGTGGTGGTGTAGGTGGTTGGTGTAGGTGATGTAAGGTGGTGGTGTAGGTGGTTGTGTAGGTGGTGGTAGGTGGTGAGGTGGTGGTGGCAGTGGTGAGTGAGTGAGTGGTGTGAGTGGTGGTGGTGTAGGTGGTGGTGTAGGTGGTGTAGGTGGTGGTGTAGGTGGTGTGGTGTAGGTGGTGGGTGTAGGTGGTGGTGTAGGGTGGTGGTGTAGGTGGTGGTGTGAGTGGTGTAGGTAGGTGGTGTGGTGAGGTAGGTGGTGGTGTAGGTGGTGGTGTGTAGGTGGTGGTGGTGTAGGTGGTGGTGTAGGTGAGTGGTGGTAGTGTAGGTGGTGTAGGTGGTGGTGTAGGTGGTGGTGTAGGTAGTGGTATTGTAGTGCAGTGGTGTAGGTGGTGGTGTGTGGTGGTGTAGGTGGTGGTGTAGGTGGTGGTGTAGGTGGTGGTGTAGGTAGTAGTGAGGTGGTAAGTGGTGTAGGTGGTGGTGTAGGTGGTGTAGGTAGTGGTGTAGGTGGTGGTGTATGTGGTGGTGGTGAGTGTAGGTGGTGGTGTAGGTAGAGTAGTGGTGTAAGTGTGTGGTGGTAGTGGTGTAGATGGTGGTGTAGGTGGTGGTGTAGAGGTGGTGTGGTGGTGCTTGTAGAGTGGTGTGTAGGTGGTGGTGTAGGTAGTGGTGTAGGTGGTGGTGTAGGTGGTGGTGTAGAGTGTGGTGGTGTAGGTGGTGGTGTAGGTGGTGGTGTAGGAAGTGTGGTGTAGTGGTGAGTGTAGTGTGGTGTAGTGTAATTGGTGAAGTGTAGTGTAGTGATATAGGTGGTGGTGTAGAGTGTGTGGTGGTAGTTGGTGTAGAAGTGTGGTAGTGGTGTGAGTAGGTAGTGGTAGTGTAGTAAGTGAAGTAGTAAGGTGGTGGTGTGAGTGGTGGTGAGTAGGTGGTAGTGTAAGAGTGGTGGGTGTAGGTGAGTGTGTAGTGGTAGGTAGTGAGTAGTAGGTGTAAGAGTGGTGATGTAGGTGGTGTAGTGAAAGTGGTGGTGTAGGTGGTGGTGGTGTGAGTGGTGTAGGTGTGTGAGTAGGTGGTGAGTGTAGAGTGGTGGTGTAGGTGGTGGTGTAGGTAGTGTGGTGTAGGTGGTGGTGGGTGGGTGGTGGTAGTAGGTGGTGGTGGTGTAGTAGTGGTGTAGGTGGTGGTGTAAGAGTAGTAGTGGTGGTGGTGTAGGTGGTAGTGTAGGTGGTGGTGTAGGTGGTGTAAGTGTAGAGTAGTGTAAGAGTGGTGGTGTAGGTGGTGGTAAGGTGTAGAGTGTAGGTGTAAGGTGGTGGTGTAGAGTGGTAGGTAGAGGAGGTGTGTGAGTAGTGGTGATTAGTGTAGGTGTGGTGAGTGAAAGTGGTGGTGTAGAGTGAGTAGTGAGTGTAGAGTAGTGGTGTAGGTAGTGGTGTAGTAGTGAGTGTAGTGTAAGTGGTGTAGTGGTGTGTAGTAGTGGTGGTGGTGGAGTAGTGGTGAGTGGTGGTAGTGGTGGTGAGTGTAGGTGGTGGTGAAGTAGTGGTAGTGGTAGTAGTGTAAGTGTAGTGAGGTGAGGTGAGTAGTGGTGTAGGTGGTGGTGTAGGTAGTGGTGTATTGGTGGTGAGTAAGTGGTGGTGTAAGAGGTGGTGTAGGTGGTAGTGTAGGTGAAAGTGTAGGTAGTGGTGTAGTGTAGTATGAGAATGGTAGTGTAAGTGGTGGTGTAGTGGTAATAGTGAGTGTTGGTGGTGTAGGTGGAGTGTAGTATGTGTGTAGTGTGAGTAGTGTAGAGTGGTGAGACTAGAGTGGTAGTGTAGGTAAGTAGGTGTAAGAGTGGTGGTGTAAGAGTGGTGATGTGGAGTGGTGGTGTAGGTAGTGAGTAGTGAGGTGGGGTGGTGGTGTAAGAGTGGTGGTGTAGTGTAAGTAGTAGTAGAGTGGTAGTGTAGGTAGTGGTGTAGGTAGTAGTAAGTGTAGAGTAAGTGGTGTGGTGGTAGTAGTGAGTAGTAGAGTAGTGGTGTAGTGGTGGTGGTGAAAGAGTAGTGTGGTGGTGTAGGTGGTGGTGTGGAAGTGGTACAGAAGGAGAGGTAGTAGTGTAGTTAAGTAGTGAGTGGTATTGAAAGTAAGTAAAAGTGTAGGTGGTATAATGAAGCAGTAGAGTATAGGTAGTGATGTAGAGTGGTGGTGTAGGAAGTGGTAAGGAAGTAGTGTAGGTGTTTAAAAGTGTGGTGGTGTGAGTAGTGTGGTGGTAGAGTGGTGAGGTGGTGGTGTAGGGAGGTGGTGTAGGTGAGGTAGTGGTGTAGGTGGTGTAGGTGGTGGTGGTGTAGGTGGGTGGTGGTGTAGGTGGTGGTGTAGGTGGTGGTGTGGTGGTGGTGAGTGGTGGTGTAGGTGGTGGTGTGTGTGGTGTGTAGGTGGTGGTGTAGTGGTGGTGGTGTAGGTGGTGGTGTGGGTAGGTGGTGTGGTGTAGGTGGTGTAGGTGGTGGTGTGAGGTGGGTAGAGTGGTGGTGTAGGTGGTGGTGTAGGTGGTGGTGTGTAGGAGATTGGTGTAGGTGGTGGTGAGTGGAGGTGGTGTAGCGGTGGTGAGTGTAGGTGGTGGTGTAGGTGGTGGTTGTAGGTGGTGTGTAGGTGGTGGTGTAGGTGAGTGGGTGTAGGTGGTGGTGTAAGCGGTGGGTGGTGGTAGGTGGTGTAGGAGTGGTGGTGGTGTAGGTGGTGGTGTAGAGGTGGTGGTGTAGGTGGTGGAGGTGGTGGTGGTGTAGGAGTGGTAAGGTGAAGTGGTGGTGTGGTGGTGGTGGTGTAGTGAGTGAATTGGTGGAGTGTAGGTGAGTGAGGTGGTGGGTGGTGTAGGTGGTGGTGTGTAGGTGGTGGTGTAGGTGGTGGTGTAGAGTGGTGGGTAGGTGGTGGTGTAGGAAGTGGTGGTGGTGGTGGTGTGAAAGGTGTAGGTGGTGGTGGTAGTGGTGGTGGTAGGTGGTGGTGTAGGTGGTGGTGTAGGTGTAAGAGTGGTGGTGTAGGTGGTGGTGTAGGTGAGGTGGTGTAGTGTAGGTGGTGGTGGTGGTGGTGTAGGTGGTGGTGTAGGAGTGGTGGTGTAGTGTGTGGTAGGTGGTGTAGGTGGTAGTGTGGTGAGGTAGAGTGGTGGTGTAGGTAGTGTGGTGGTGAGGTGGTGGTATGTAGGTGGTGGTGTAGGAGGTGGTGGGTGGTGTGTGTGAGTGGGTGGTGGTGTAAGTAGTGGAAGTGGTGGTGGTTATAGGTGTGAGGTGGTGGTGTAGGTGTAGGTGAGGTGGTGTAGGTGGTGTAAGTAGGTGGTGAGTGAAGTGGTGGTGTAGGTGGTGGTGTAGGTGGTGGTGTAGGTGGTGGTGTAAGAGGTGGTGTATAGGTGGTGGTAGTGTGGGTGGTGGTGTAGGTGGTGGTGTAGTAAGTGAGGTGGTGTAGGTGGTGGTGTAAGGTGGTAGGTGGTGTAGTGGTGGTGTAGGTGGTGGTGTAGGTGGTGGTGTGAGGTGGTGTAGGTGGTGAGGTGCAGAGTGTAGTAGAGTTGAAGGTGGTGTGTAGGTGTAAGTGGTGGTGTAGGTGGTGTGGTGGTGGAGGTGTAGGTGAGTAGTGTAGGTGGTGGTGTAGGTGTAGGTGGTGGTGTAGAAGGTGGTGTAGGTGGTAGTGGTGTAGGTGGTGGTGGTGTAGGTGTGGGTGTGGCTTGTGTAGGTGGTGAGTGGTGGAGTAGGTAGGTGGTGGTGGTGGTGTATTAGGTGGTGTAGGTGAGTAGGTGTAGGTGGTGTATTGAGTAGTGAGTGGTTAATTATAGGTAGTGGTGTAGGTGGTAGTGTAGGTGAATTGTGGTGTAGGTGGTGGTGGTGTAGGTGGTGAGTAGTGTAGGAGAGTAGTGATGTAGGTGTGTTTATGGAAGTAGTGGTGTAGGTGGTGTAGGTGTGGAGTGGTGTAAGTGGTGGTGGTGGTGTAGGTGTAGTGGTGTAGGTGGAGGTGGTGAGTAGGTGGTGTAGGTGGTGGTGTAAGAGTGGTAAAATTGTGTAGGTGTGGGTGGTGTAGGTGGTGTAGAGTAGGTGGTGGTGTAGGTGTAATGTTGGTGTAGGTGGTGGTGTAGGTGTGAGTGAGTGTATAAGAGTAGTGAGTATGTGGAAGTAGTGTGGTGGTGTAGGTAGGTGGTGGTGGTGTAGGTGGTGGTGGTGTGGTGGTGGTGGTGGTGGTAGAGTAGTGAAATAGTAGTGGTGGTGGAAGTGTAGTGGTGAAAATGGTAGTGTGTAGTAGTGTAAGTAGTGGTGTAGGTGGTGGTGTAGGTGTAGGTGTAGGTGGTGGTGGTGGTGGTGGTGTAGGTGGTGGTAGTGGTGTGTTGGTGTAGGTGTAGAGTGGTGTGGTGGTGGGTGGTGAAAGGTGTAGGTGGTGGTGTAGGTAAGGTGGTGTAGGAGGTGGTGGTGGTGTGGAGGTAGGAAAGTGGTGAGTAAGAGTGGTGGAGTGGTGGTGTGTAGGTGGTGGTGTAGGGTGGTGGTGTAGGTGGTGGTGTAGGTGGTGGTGTAGAGTGGTGTGGAGGTGGTGGTGGTAGGTGAAGGTGGTGGTGGTAGAGTGGTGGTGGTAGGTGGTGGTGTAGGTGGTGGTGTAGGTGGTGGTGTAGGTGGTGGTGTAGGTGGTGGTGGTGTAGGTGTGGTGGTATGGTGGTGGTGGTGTAGGTGTGGTGGTGTGTAGGTGGTGGTGGTGGTAGGTGGCGGTGGAGTGGTGGTGGTGTAAGAGTAGAGGTGGTGGTAGTGTAGGTGGAGTAGTGGGTGTAGGTGGAGTGTGGTGTAGGGTGTGGGGTAGTGTAATGTAGGTGTGGTGTAGGTGAGTGTAAGAGTGTAGGTGTGGTAGGTGGTGGTAGAGTGTAGTGAGTGTTGGTAGGTAGTGTAGGTGGTGGTGTAGAGTGGTGGTGTAGGTGGTGGTGTGTAAGTGTGTGGTGGTGTGGTAGTGGTGTAGAGTGGTGGTGTAGAGTAGTGGTGGTGTGTAGTGGTGTAGTGGTGTGAGGTGGTGTGTGTAGTGAGTGTGGTGGTATAGGTGACTAAGTGGTGTAGGAGTGGTGGTGTAAGAGGAGTGGTGTAAGGGTGTAAGGTGGTGTAGGTGGTGTGAGTGTAGTAATTATGTGTAGGTGGTGTAGGAGGTGGTGTATGTGAGAGTAGTGTAAGGTAATTGTAAGTAGTGAGTGTAGTGTAGTGGTAGTAGTTTAGGAAGGTAGCAGTAGTGGTAGTGTAGTAGTGGTGTAAGAGTGAGGTAGTGGTGTAGGTGGTGGTGTAGTAGGTGGAGTGGTGTAGTGGTGTAGGTATTTTTAGGGTGGTGTAGGTAGGTGGTGTGGTGTAGGTGAGTGTGGTGGTGTAGGTGGTGGTGTAGGAGTGTGGTGGTGTGGAGTGGTGGTGTGGTGAGTGTAGGTAGGTGGTGGTGTAGGAAGTGGTGTAGGATTGGTGGTGTAGGTGGTGGTGGTGGTGTGTAGGTGGTGGTGTAGGAGGTGGGTGTAGGTGAGTGGTGTAGGTGGTGGTGGAGTGTGTGGTGGTGGTGGTGTGTAGTGGTGGTGGTGTATGTAAGAGTGAGTGGTGGTGGTGTAAGTGGTGGAGTGGTGAGTGGTGTGGTGTATGAAGTGGTGTGTGGGTGTGGTGGTGAGTGTAGTGGTGGCAGTGGTGGGTGTGAGGTGGTGTAGGTAGTGGTGTAGCAGTGGTGAAGTGCAAAGTGGGTGGTGCTTGTAGGTGTAGGTGTTGGTGTAGGAAGTGGTGCAGTGTAGGTGGTGGTGTAGAGTGGTGGTGGTGAGGTGGTGGTGGTGGTGTAGGTAGTGGTGTAGGTGGTGAGGTGGGTTGTGGTGGTGGTGTGGTGGTGGCAGGTGGTGGTGTGGTTGGTGGTGGTGTGGTGGTGTAGGTGGTGGTGTGTAGGAAATTAGTGTGGGTGTTAGGTTGTGGTGTATAGTGGTGTTGGTGGTGTATGTGGTGTGGAGGTGGTAAGGTGGGTGTATGGAGTGGTATGTGTAGGGTGATAAGTGTGGTGGTGGTGGTGTAGGTGGTGGTGTAGGTGGTGTAGGTGGTGGTGTGTAGTGGTGGTGGTGTGGTGGTGGTGGTGTAGGTGTGTGTAGGTGGTGGCGTTGATGGTGAGTGTGGTGAGGTAGTGGCGGTGGTTTAAAGGTAACGATGGTGGTAGGTGATGGTGTAGTGGTGGTGGTAGCTATAGTGGTGTAGTAAGGAGGTGTAGGTGGTGGTGTGTAGTGTTATTGGTGGTAGTGTTGGTAGTTGTGGTGGTGGTGGTGGTGGTGGTGGTGTAGGTATTGGTGTTGGTGGTGGTGTAGGCGGCAGCGGTGGTTTTAGAGGTAGCGATGGTAGTAGGTGTAACTGAGTTGATGCTGGTAGATAACTTGATAGTGACCTGAACCATAACTTTCTGAGTAGGTGCCTGCGGGTGTGGGTTCGAATCCCGGATAGGACTCAACCCAACAAAAGTACTGAGAATGTGTAGTCCCAAATAAAACATGTTACAATTCGATAGCAGTTATCAGTTATGCAGAACCAGCAACTGATGAATGTATCAGCAGATATATAAATAATTAACATTTACTTTGACGTGATCGTATTCAGTTTCAACAATATCAATAACTACACAATCGTGTGACTGTTGTGACATAATGTTTTCCTAAGATAAGGTTCGTATTCAATACACATTTTGAAATCTGTTTGGGGCGGTGGGGTAGCCTAGTGGTTAAAGCGTTCGCTCGTGACGCCGAAGACCTGGGTTCGATTCCCCACATGATCACAATGTGTGAAGCCCATTTCTGATGTCCCCCGCCGTGACATTGCCTGAATATTCACCATTCTTTGGTGTATAAATTTCTAACCATTTACGTTCACTCGGACATGCTCAAAGACTACAACTCGTCTTGCTGTACGGGCGCACATGTCATTAGTAATATTTGAAAGAAATTGAAGGCTTTCATAAATTGTAAATATACATGTTTGTTTTTAAATCTGGACACATAGCCCATATTTTGAATAGCAAATGATACTGCAATGTTGAAATGTGGAAACGAAATGTTATTAAAGAGCACATTGTATTGATATGAATATGAATGAAAGTCTTTATATGGCTCACATATTTAGCCGATGCGACGGTACATTTTAACTCAAAACAATTCGAGCTGATCCAGGTTACAACTTTCAAGATCTTAGTGTTGTTTCAACGATTTATCATAGGCATTTTCATGTTTGACGCCTCTCCAGCCTTGTCTGAGCAGTTCACGATTTTGATTTTTATCATATGCAATCGTACGTTTTCAAGTTAAGGTGCCTCTGTGTGTGGTTGTGACGAGAGCTACCTGTGTCACGTGGGTATATTTTCCTTTTAGCACATTTGACTTGGTTGACACATGTCATCGTATGCTCATGTTGTTGATCAATGGATTGTTTGGTCCAGACATTATGAGTTGCATGCTTCTATCGAGGGTAATACGGTCTGATGGACGCCTCATTGTAGCAGTGTCACCCGAGCCGGTAGGCGAGGAGTCGCTGAAGACTATATGACATAAACAAAATGGCGTCTGCCTCTCGACTGGATTTTTAAAATCAGTGACACATATTTTGACAAGCTTAAAGCTGCTATAAAAATGGTTAATGATGTTTAAGTTGAGTGTGCAAACGATTCAATGTGTAAAATAGTTTAAATAAAGCAGTGAAAGTCGGTAAAATAAATGTGTACATAGTGAACTTAGAAACAGCTAATCGACTTGTTTTCAAACTCCGTGCACTGCATGCGTCATATTATGACGTCATACGATTGTTAGCGATACAGCTTCTCAGCGGAGAGTTTGGCGGTTAAATAATAATAATACAGTTGATTTGTTATGCGCCAAAACTCCAGGCACTTAGTGTCTACTCATGGCGCTACACAAAATTAAAATACACTGCAGTAGAGGTGCTATATTTTCACTGGTATATCGATCTTTATAGAACTTTTGGAAGAGATGAGTCTTTATGCAGCTTTTAAAGATTGTCAATGATGCTGATTTCTTTATTCCCAAGGGAAGATCGTTCCATAGAGTTGGGGCCATGTAAGCAAATGATCTCTGTCCATACTTTTGAGGCGGAATTTGGGTACTTTAAGAAGTAACTGATCAGCAAATCTAGTGTCCGAGAAGGTTCATATTTCTCAATCAATTCTGTCAGATAGGCAGGAGCTGTTTGATTGACACATTAATATGTCAATGTGAGAATCTTGTATTGGACTCGAGCTTGGACTGGGAGCCAGCGTAGGGAAGTTAGCACTGGTGTTATATGTGCACACTTCCTCGTTCGGGGCACGATCCGTGCTGCAGTGTTTTGGACCCGCTGGAGTTTTGCAAACTATTTCTGGGTTAGATTTCCCAACAAGCTATTTGCATAATCAAGTCTTGGCAATACCGGTTACTATGGCAGCGGGTAATACTTGCGTTGATTGGCTTATTCCATCCCTGAAGCCTTTTATAGCAGTAGACGTTGGAGTTTTCAGTACGTAACCTTATTTTATTCCATCAGTATATATGCGCTTTTTACACTAAATGCCACAGTACCGGATTACGAAAGCTGATATAACCCTGTATATATATATAGTTGTTTCATTAATAATGTACCAGAACAGTGATCAGTTGTCAAAATCCCGACTATCAAGCAGAAAAATTGTGTTTGAAGTCAACTGAAGATGACGTTCTTAATGCTGGTCCTCTTGGCGTATCTTGGCTCTGCCCATAGTAAGTGTTGACTATGGTTGGTCCTCGTGGGGTATCTTGGCTCTGCCCTTGATCAGTGTTAACATATGTAGGTCCTTGTGGGATATCTTGGCTCTGCCCATAGTAAGTGTTGACTATGGTTGGTCCTCGTAGCGTATCTTGGCTCTGCCCTTGGTAAGTGTTGACATTTGTTGGTCCTCGTGGGATATCTTGGCTCTGCCCTTGGTAAGTGTTGACATTTGTTGGTCCTCGTGGGATATCTTGGCTCTGCCCTTGGTAAGTGTTGACATTTGTTGGTCCTCGTGGGATATCTTGGCTCTGCCCTTGGTAAGTGTTGACATTTGTTGGTCCTCGTAGGGTATCTTGGCTCTGCCCATAGTAAGTGTTGACATTTGTTGTTCCTCGTAGGGTATCTTGGCTCTGCCCTTGGTAAGTGTTGACATTTGTTGGTCCTCGTAGGGTATCTTGGCTCTGCCTACAGTAAGTGTTGACATTTGTTGGTCCTCGTGGGGTATCTTGGCTCTGCCTACAGTAAGTGTTGACATTTGTTGTTCCTCGTGGGGTATCTTGGCTCTGCCTACAGTAAGTGTTGACATTTGTTGGTCCTCGTGGGGTATCTTGGCTCTGCCCTTGGTAAGTGTTGACATTTGTTGTTCCTCGTGGGGTATCTTGGCTCTGCCGTTGGTAAGTGTTGACATTTGTTGGTCCTCGTAGGGTATCTTGACTCTGCCCATAGTAAGTGTTGACATTTGTTGGTCCTCGTAGCGTATCTTGGCTCTGCCCATAGTAAGTGTTGACATTTGTTGGTCCTCGTGGGATATCTTGGCTCTGCCCTTGGTAAGTGTTGACATTTGTTGGTCCTCGTGGGGTATCTTGGCTCTGCCCTACAGTAAGTGTTGACATTTGTTGGTCCTCGTGGGGTATCTTGGCTCTGCCCTTGGTAAGTGTTGACATTTGTTGGTCCTCGTGGGGTATCTTGGCTCTGCCCTTGGTAAGTGTTGACATTTGTTGGTCCTCGTTGGGTATCTTGGCTCTGCCCTTGGTAAGTGTAGACATTTGTTGGTCCTCGTGGGGTATCTTGGCTCTGCCCTTGGTCAGTGTAGACATTTGCTTGACCTCGTGGGGTATCTTGGCTCTGCCCTTGGTAAGTGTTGACATTTGTTGGTCCTCGTGGGTATCATGGCTCTGCCGTTGGTAAGTGTTGACATTTGTTGGTCCTCGTTGGGTATCTTGGCTCTGCCCTTGGTAATTGTAGACATTTGTTGGTCCTCGTGGGGTATCTTGGCTCTGCCCATAGTAAGTGTTGACATTTGTTGGTCCTCGTAGGGTATCTTGGCTCTGCCCTTGGTAAGTGTTGACATTTGTTGTTCCTCGTAGGGTATCTTGGCTCTGCCTACAGTAAGTGTTGACATTTGTTGTTCCTCGTGGGGTATCTTGGCTCTGCCTACAGTAAGTGTTGACATTTGTTGTTCCTCGTGGGGTATCTTGGCTCTGCCTACAGTAAGTGTTGACATTTGTTGGTCCTCGTGGGGTATCTTGGCTCTGCCCTTGGTAAGTGTTGACATTTGTTGGTCCTCGTGGGATATCTTGGCTCTGCCGTTGGTAAGTGTTGACATTTGTTGTTCCTCGAGGGATATCTTGGCTCTGCCGTTGGTAGAATGTTGACATTTGTTGTTCCTCGTAGGGTATCTTGGCTCTGCCCATAGTAAGTGTTGACATTTGTTGGTCCTCGTAGGGTATCTTGGCTCTGCCGTTGGTAAGTGTTGACATTTGTTGGTCCTCGTGGGGTATCTTGGCTCTGCCTACAGTAAGTGTTGACATTTGTTGGTCCTCGTGGGGTATCTTGGCTCTGCCCTTGGTAAGTGTTGACATTTGTTGTTCCTCGTGGGGTATCTTGGCTCTGCCTACAGTAAGTGTTGACATTTGTTGTTCCTCGTGGGGTATCTTGGCTCTGCCCTTACAGTAAGTGTTGACATTTGTTGTTCCTAGTAAGTGTTGACATTTGTTGTTGTCCTCGTATCCATCGTGGGTATCTTGGCTCTGCCTATAGTAAGTGTTGACATTTGTTGGTCCTCGTGGGGTATCTTGGCTCTGCCCTTGGTAAGTGTTGACATTTGTTGGTCCTCGTGGGGTATCTTGGCTCTGCCCTTGGTAAGTGTTGACATTTGTTGGTCCTCGTGGGGATATCTTGGCTCTGCCGTTGGTAAGTGTTGACATTTGTTGTTCCTCGTGGGGTATCTTGGCTCTGCCCATAGTAAGTGTTGACATTTGTTGGTCCTCGTAGGGTATCTTGGCTCTGCCGTTGGTAAGTGTTGACATTTGTTGGTCCTCGTAGGGTATCTTGGCTCTGCCCATAGTAAGTGTTGACATTTGTTGGTCCTCGTGGGGTATCTTGGCTCTGCCCTTGGTAAGTGTTGACATTTGTTGTTCCTCGTGGGGTATCTTGGCTCTGCCTACAGTAAGTGTTGACATTTGTTGGTCCTCGTGGGGTATCTTGGCTCTGCCTACAGTAAGTGTTGACATTTGTTGTTCCTCGTGGGGTATCTTGGCTCTGCCCTTGGTAAGTGTTGACATTTGTTGTTCCTCGTGGGGTATCTTGGCTCTGCCCTTGGTAAGTGTTGACATTTGTTGGTCCTCGTGGGGTATCTTGGCTCTGCCCTTGGTAAGTGTTGACATTTGTTGGTCCTCGTGGGGTATCTTGCTCTGCATTTGGTAAGTGTTGTTGGTCCTCGTGGGGTATCTTGGCTCTGCCCGTTGGTAAGTGTTGACATTTGTTGTTCCTCGTGGGGTATCTTGGCTCTGCCGTTGGTAAAGTGTTGACATTTGTTGCTCTCCTCAGTAAGGGTATCTTGGCTCTGCCCTTGGTAAGTGTTGACATTTGTTGTTCCTCGTGGGGTATCTTGGCTCTCTGCCCTTGGTAAGTGTTGACATTTGTTGGTCCTCGTGGGGTATCTTGGCTCTGCCCTTGGTAAGTGTTGACATTTGTTGGTCCTCGTGGGGTATCTTGGCTCTGCCCTTGGTAAGTGTTGACATTTGTTGGTCCTCGTGGGGTATCTTGGCTCTGCCCTTGGTCAGTGTAGACATTTGTTGGTCCTCGTGGGGTATCTTGGCTCTGCCCTTGGTCAGTGTACACATTTGCTTGACCTCGTGGGGTATCTTGGCTCTGCCCTTGGTAAGTGTTGACATTTGTTGGTCCTCGTGGGTATCTTGGCTCTGCCGTTGGTAAGTGTTGACATTTGTTGGTCCTCGTTGGGTATCTTGGCTCTGCCCTTGGTAATTGTAGACATTTGTTGGTCCTCGTGGGGTATCTTGGCTCTGCCCATAGTAAGTGTTGACATTTGTTGTTCCTCGTGGGGTATCTTGGCTCTGCCCTTGGTAAGTGTTGACATTTGTTGGTCCTCGTGGGGTATCTTGGCTCTGCCCATAGTAAGTGTTGACTTTTGTTGGTCCTCGTGGGGTAATCTTGGCTCTGCCGTTGGTAAGTGTTGACATTTGTTGGTCCTCGTGGGGTATCTTGGCTCTGCCCTTGGTAAGTGTTGACATTTGTTGTTCCTCGTGGGGTATCTTGGCTCTGCCGTTGGTTGGTAAGTGTTGACATTTGTTGGTCCTCGTAGGGTATCTTGGCTCTGCCCATAGTAAGTGTTGACATTTGTTGGTCCTCGTGGGATATCTTGGCTCTGCCCTTGGTAAGTGTAGACATTTGTTGGTCCTCGTGGGGTATCTTGGCTCTGCCCTTGGTAAGTGTTGACATTTGTTGGTCCTCGTGGGGTATCTTGGCTCTGCCCTTGGTAAGTGTTGACATTTGTTGGTCCTCGTGGGGTATCTTGGCTCTGCCGTTGGTAAGTGTTGACATTTGTTTGTCCGCGTGTGATATTTTGGCTCTGCCGTTGGTAAGTGTTGACATTTGATGGTCCTCGTGGGGTATTTTGGCTCTGCCCTTTGTCAGTGTTGACATTTGTTGGAATGTCTTGTAGGACTGGGTCACAAGACTCCATCCTATGACATTGCTTATTGTATATAGCGTTTCTAAGGTTCAGCAGTACAGACAATGCATGCCAACGCAAAAATAAGCACCGTATTCTTAACTGACTAAAAATTCCGAGTTATATTGGACATATAAACTAAGACTTATATTGCCTTCTGCAGTAACTCTGCACTAAGACTAATACATGTAATTGTGTATGTGCGTGCGTGCGTGTGCGTGTGTGTGTGTGTGTGTGTGTGCGTGCGTGCGTGCGTGCGTGTGTGTGTGTGTGTGTGTACACTAACAGAGTTAGCAGTGAGTTGAACACACGCATTGATATTGGTTTTTGGCCTCGGTAGGGCATGTGCATCTTGATAAACTGCGTCGAGTACATGAATGTCAGGGGTGTCCTCCCAAAAGTTAGACGTCCCAAAAATTAGACGCGTTAAAACAACAAAGGTTATGGTTGGTTGCACTGAGGTTCACTACGCTGTTACCTTCGTTAATTAAGACTTATATTGCCTTCGACAGTAACTCAACACTAAGATTTATATTGCCTTCGACAGTAACTCTACACTAATACTTATATTGCTATCGACAGTAACTCAACACTAAGATTTATATTGCCTTCGACAGTAACTCTACACTAAGATTTATATTGCCTTCGACAGTAACTCAACACTAAGATTTATATTGCCTTCGACAGTAACTCTACACTAAGACTTATATTGCCTTCGACAGTAACTCAACACTAAGACTTATATTGCCTTCGACAGTAACTCTACACTAAGACTTATATTGCCTTCGACAGTAACTCTACACTAAGACTTATATTGCCTTCGACAGTAACTAAAAGCTAAGACTTATATTGCTATCGACAGTAACTCTGGACTAAGACTTATATTGCTATCGACAGTAACTCAACACTAAGACTTATATTGCCTTCGACAGTAACTCTACACTAAGACTTATATTGCCTTCGACAGTAACTCTGGACTAAGACTTATATTGCCTTCGACAATAACTCTGCACTAAGACTTATATTGCTATCGACAGTAACTCTGCACTAAGACTGATATTGCCTTCGACAGTAACTCTGCACTAAGACTTATATTGCCTTCGACAGTAACTCTGCACTAAGACTTATATTGCCTTCGCCAGTAACAAAAAGCTAAGAGTTATATTGCCTTCGACAGTAACTCTGGACTAAGACTTATTTGCCCTCGACAGTAGCTCTACACCAAGACTTATATTGCTATCGACAGTAAATCTGCACTAAGACTTATATTGTCTTCGACAGTAACTCTACACTAAGATTTATATTGCCTTCGCCAGTAACATAAAGCTAAGAGTTATATTGCCTTCGACAGTAACTCTGGACTAAGACTTATATTGCCTTCGACAGTAACTGTGCACTAAGACTTATATTGCCTTCGACAGTAACTCTGCACTAAGACTTATATTGCCTTCGACAGTAACTCTACACTAAGACTGATATTGCCTTCGACAGTAACTCTGCACTAAGACTTATATTGCCTTCGACAGTAACTCTACACTAAGACTTATATTGCCTTCGCCAGTAACATAAAGCTAAGAGTTATATTGCCTTCGACAGTAACTCTGGACTAAGACTTATTTGCCCTCGACAGTAACTCTACACCAAGACTTATATTGCTATCGACAGTAAATCTGCACTAAGACTTATATTGTCTTCGACAGTAACTCTACACTAAGACTTATATTGCCTTCGACAGTAACAAAAAGCTAAGACTTATATTTCCTTCGACAGTAACTGTGCACTAAGACTTATATTGCTATCGACAGTAACTCTGCACTAAGACTGATATTGCCTTCGACAGTAACTCTGCACTAAGACTTATATTGCCTTCGACAGTAACTCTACACTAAGACTTATATTGCCTTCGCCAGTAACAAAAAGCTAAGAGTTATATTGCCTTCGACAGTAACTCTGGACTAAGACTTATTTGCCCTCGACAGTAACTCTACACCAAGACTTATATTGCTATCGACAGTAAATCTGCACTAAGACTTATATTGTCTTCTACAGTAACTCTACACTAAGACTTATATTGCTTTCGACAGTAACAAAACGCTAAGAGTTATAGTGCCTTCGACAGTAACTCTGGACTAAGACTTATATTTCCTTCGACAGTAACTGTGCACTAAGACTTATATTTCTATCGACAGTAACTCTGCACTAAGACTGATATTGCCTTCGACAGTAACTCTACACTAAGACTTATATTGCCTTCGACAGTAACAAAACGCTAAGAGTTATATTGCCTTCGACAGTAACTCTGGACTAAGACTTATATTGCCCTCGACAGTAACTCTACACCAAGACTTATATTGCTATCGACAGTAAATCTGCACTAAGACTTATATTGTCTTCTACAGTAACTCTACACTAAGACTTATATTGCCTTCGCCAGTAACAAAAAGCTAAGACTTATATTTCCTTCGACAGTAACTGTGCACTAAGACTTATATTGCTATCGACAGTAACTCTGCACTAAGACTTATATTGCTATCGACAGTATCTCAACACTAAGACTTATATTGTTTTCGACAGTAACTCTACACTAAGACTTATATTGCCTTTGACAGTAACAAAAAGCTAAGAATTATATTTCCTTCGACAGTAACTA